TCGTGAAGGTGTAGTGAGATAGTGGCTGGGGCCGGAGTCATCTCAAAGTCATCCTCTCTCCCATGCCTACTGGCTGATACAGGAACTACGTGGCCTCTACATGTTTACTGGGCTTTTTTCAGCATGTTGGCTGAGCCAGAAAGTTCCAAGAGCAACTTCTCAGAGAGCAAGCGAGCAAGTGGGCGAGCAAGCGAGCCAGGAGCAGTTGTATCGCCTTTTATTGTCTTACCTTGGAAGCCATACAGTGTCATTTCCACTGCATTTTATTCTTTAGAAGTGAGGTGCTAAGGCGGGCCCCTATTCAGGGGAGAGGAATTTAAACTCTACCTCTTAACGGGAGGAGTGTAAAAAAATTTGCAAACACATTTTAAAACCACCACAGGCAGCCTTTCATTAGAGAATAGTAAAGTTCAATGCCATTTAGTAGCCAAGTTGAGAAGCATCTGGATTTTTCCTCTTGATCCAAATAACAGACATACAAATGCTAGGTTCTTTCACTTATGTATTAGTTTTCTATTGTTGCTGTAACAAATTATCACAATTGTATTATTGTATAGTTCTATAGGTCAGGGGAGCCCTGGTGGCACAGTGGTTAAGCACTCAGCTGCTAACTGAAAGTTCGGTGGTTTGAACCTACCAGACGCTCCATGGGCAAAAGATGTGGCAGTCTACTTCTGTAAAGCCTTGGAAACCCTATGGGGAAGTTCTACTATGAGTCAGAATCAACTCAATGGCAATGAGTTTTCTGGTGTAGTTCAGAAGTCTGGGTTGGTTCAGCTGGTTTCTCTGCTCCAGGTTTCAAAAGGCTGAAATCAAGGTGTCGGCTTGCTAGATTCTCACTGGGAGGCTCCAACAGATTGTTGGCAGAATCCAGTTCCGTATGGATATAGGACTGAGGTCCTCACTTCTAGCTGGCTGTCAGCTGGGGTCCACCCTTAGCTCCTAGAGGCCCCTTCAAGTCCTTAGACATGGCCCCTGTATCTTAGAGCCAGCAATGGTGTGTCAAATCCTTACCCTTGGAATCTCTCCAACTTCCTATTCTGCAGCATCTCTTCTGACTTCCTTTTCTGTTGCATCGCTCTGATTCCAGCCAGAGAAGGTTCTTTGCTTTTAAGGGCTCATATAATTAGGTTGGGCCCACCTAGATAATTCAGGATAATCTCCCTATTTTAAGATCCTTAACCTTCCTTACTTCTGCAAAGTCCCTTTTGCCATGTAACATGAAAAACTCACAGGATCCAGGGATTAGGGCCTGGACATCTTTGGGGAGGGGATCATAATTCTACCTACCATAGGTAGCAACATTAGGTCAATAAGGGCACTTTCCCCTCCACTTGTTTCCTCAGGAAAGTAGGCCAGCCAGAAAGTTTTTGGTAAACATTAGGGTTTGTTGAAATGTTGTTGTTGTTGTTAGGTGCCGTTGAGTTGGTTCCAACTCATAACGACCCTATGTACAACAGAACAAAACACTACCTAGTCCTGCACCATCCTCCCAATCATTTTTATGCTTGAGCCCACTGTTGCAGCCACTGTGTCAATCCATCTTGTTGAGGGTCTCCCTCTTTTTCGTTGACCCTCTACTTTACTAAGCATGATGTCCTTCTCCAGGCACTGATCCCTTCTGATAACATGTCCAAAGTATATGAGACAAAGTCTTGCCATCCTTGCTTCTAAGGAGCAGTCTGGCTGTACGTCTTCCAAGACAAATTTGTTCGTTCTTTTGGCAGTCAACGGTATAGTCAATATTCTTTGCCAACACCATAATTCAAAGGTGTCAATTCTTCTTCTGTCTTCCTCATTCATTGTCCAGCTTTCGCATGCATATGAGGCAATTGGAAACACCATCATTAGGAGCAGGTGCACCTTAGTCTTCAAGGTGACGTCTTTGCTTTTTAACACTTTAAAGAGGTCTTTTACAGCAGATTTGCCCAGTGCAATGCGTCGTTTGATTTCTTGACTACTGCTTCCATGGGTGTTGATTGTGGATCCAAGTATAATGAAATCCTTGACAACTTCAATCTTTTCTCCGTTTGTCATGGGTTGCTTATTGGTCCAGTTGTGAGGATTTTTGTTTTCTTTATGGAGGTGTAATCTATACTGAAGGCTGTAGTCTTTGATCTTCATCAGTGTTTCAAGTCCTCTTCACTTTCAGCAAGAAAGGTTGTGCCATCTGCGTAATGAGTCTTCCTCCAATCCTGATGCCCCGTTCTTCTTCATATAGTCCAGCTTCTCAGATTATTTGCTCAGCATACAGGTTGAAGAAGTATGGTGAAAGGATACAACCCTGACTTTAAACCACATAGTATCCCCCTGTTCTGTTCGAATGACTTCCTCTTCGTCTATGTACAGGTTCTGCATGAGCACAATTAAGTGTTCTGGAATTCCCATTCTTCGCAATGTTATCCGTAATTTGTTATGATCCACGCAGTTGAATGCCTTAGCATAGTCAATAAAACACAGGTAAACATCTTTCTGCTTTCAGCCAAGATCCATCTGACATCAGCAATGATATCCCTTGCTCCCCGTCCACTTCTGAATCCAGCTTGAATTTCTGGCAGTTCCCTGTCAATGTATTGCTGCAACCAGTTTTGAATTATCTTCATTCAGCAAAATTTTATTTGTGCGTGATATTAATGATATTGTTCAATAATTTCCGCATTTGGTTGGATCACCTTTCTTTAGAATAGGCATAAATATGGATCTCTTCCAGTCGGTTTGCCAGGTAGCTGTCTTCCAATTTTCTTGGCATAGATGAGCCAGCACTTCCAGCACTGCATCTGTTTGTTGAAATATCTTAATTGGTATTCCGTCAATTCCTGGAGCCTTGTTTTTCACCAATGCCTTCAGTGCAGCTTGGACTTCTTCCTTCAGTACCATCAATTCCTGATCATATGCTACCTCTTGAAATGGGTGAATGTCGACCAGTTCTTTTTGGTATAGTGACTGTGTATTCCTTCCATCTTCTTTTGATGCTCCCTGCGTCGTTTAATACTTTCTTCATAGAATCCTTCAATATTGCAACTCGAGGCTTGAATTTTTTCTTCCGTTCTTTCAGCTTGAGAAATGTTGAGCATGTTCTTCCCTTTCAGTTTTCTAACTTCAGGTCTCTGCACATGTCATTATAATACTTAACCCTAAATTTAAAGTAGAAGAATATATACGTTATGTAAATGAGTCTAGGTTTCAGTTTTGATGAGAGGGGAGGCACTCTCTTCATTTCCAGTAATGTTTCTAGATTATATAATGTTTAAGAGAACTGGCTTTGAAGTCAGGCAGACCAGACCTTGTGCAGGCATATAATGCTTATAAGTCTTAGGGCCCTCTTCTGTGAAATAGGCTAATAATTCCTATAGTTGCTATACAGAATAAACTACAAATGGAAAGTACTTAGACATAGTAAGTGCTCAGTGACTGTTAGGTAATAATAATAGAAAGTGACATATTCATAAAATTCTTTATAGGTGGGAAGAAGGTATGAGTGGACCAACCAGAATCCCCCATGAATGAAAGGGTTTCCTACCAGTTCCATATTAGTCCAACATAGTCTATTAGTTTGAAATAATTATTTTCTAGTCAGACATAAATTAGTGAAATGATTATTCTAAAAAGGATTTATTTTTGAGCAGTTCAGCTTAAGAAGGATTGCTTGGTTTCAGTTACACAGGGTAGTGGCTGAAGCTCACAACCATCTGAGTCAGGGGTGGGCAAACTACAGCCTGTGGGCTAGATCTGACCTGCTGCCTGTTTTTGTACAGCCCATGAACTAAGAATGATTTTTTATAGACAAACATTTGCAGTCGATTTGATAATGGGAAGCATTAATTTTAAACTCCAATTAAGCAAAATGTTATCCTCCCCCAAAGAATTACATTCTTCTTATTACTAGTGCTATATTAAAAAAAATTGTATATAATCATTATTATTATTTTTGAATTTCATCAATAAGAAAACTTGTGGAAAATTTTCTCTCTTCTTTATAGAAGTACCTACAAGATATCCTCAGTTTTGCCTCTTTGCCTGCAAAGCCTAAAATATTGAAGATCTAGCTCTTTGCAGAAAAAAAATTTACTGACTTCTGATCTATGTAACCTACTGTGCATTTAAGATGGAGCTGTAGACTCTTCATGGCTGGAAGGGACTCCTAGATCTACTAGTACATTATCCTAAAACTGAATCCCAGGAAAGCGGGTGACTTTTCCAATACAACCCAGCTAGTTAATGTTAGGTCCCTGGGTGTCAGAAAATGTTAAACGCTCAGTTGCTAACCAAAAGGTTGGAGGTTTGAGCCCACCCAGAATTGCCTCGAAAGAAAGTCCTGGCAGTCTACTTCTGAAAACTCAGCCATTGAAAACCCTGTGGAGCATAGTTCTACATGGGGTTGCCATGAGTCGGAATTGACTTAAGGGCAACTGGTTTGTTTTGTTTTTTTGTTAGTAATAGAGGCTGGACCAGTCACTAGATCTTTTGGTACTTACTTCAGTACACTTCCCATGGAAGCAGATGGATCCTCTGGGTAGCATAGTTGTACCTTGTTCATCTCTCTTTACATGACCCTATGTGTTGCCACCAACCCCAAGCATTTTAATGGACAGATCAGAGGTGATACAGCGTGGAAATGCAGCTGTCCCATCAATCTATTGAACAGGGTTGGGCAACTGTCAGCTTGTTGCTGTTTCCAGCTACAGGGAGAGCCCTTTAGATTCTAGAATTTCTCATTAAAGCCCTTCCAGAAGCACTTGCACTGACTTTTTCCGTTAAGTTAATAACACTGAATAACCAGGCATGTTAATATATTCTTATTGAACTATGTTCAGTTTAGGATGAAATTGTTCATTGAGCAGAGCAATAGCCCTAAACTGAGGCGATCATTTGCCCTCGTGCTCCACATCCCCATTGTTCCATGGTCATTCTCTCATCAGTCCAGCTGCATTGTATTTGTCCTTGTCGCCCTCTTGCCTGTGTAATGCTGATCGCCCTGTCATTTGCTTCTTTTTCTCTAGGTGGTTCACAAATCCAACAACCGTCAATGCCTTCTACAGTGCATCCACCAACCAGATACGTAAGTACCTGGCTCCTTGTCTCCTTGCTAGTTGGGTACAAAATGGAAGGAGCTTTTCAGTGAATATAATTAAGGGTAGGGCTTTATTTTTTTAAAACAGTGACCAGGTATGTTCATGAAGGAAGTTTACTTTCCCCTACCCATATGCCCAATTTTCCTCACTCCCTTCACCTCATACTTTTTTTTTAAATAATATTTTATTGTGTTTTCGGTAAAGGTGTACACAGCAGTTTAGGTTCCCATTCAACAATTTCTACACAAGTTGTTCAGTGACATTGATTACATTCATCACAATGCATGAACATTCTCATTATTTGCCTTTTGGTTGTTCTGTTTCCATTAATCTAGTTTCCCTGGCCCCTTACATTCTCATCTTTGTCTAAAAGTACAGGCAGTCCCCAGGTTAGGAACATCTGACTTAAGGACAGCTTGTACTTGCCCTTTAATGTTATGTAACTTTGCCCTCACTTTGAAATGATTGAACCAATCCCTACTCACAACAAATGCTTCATCACAGTCACCTTCATTTGCTGCACATGCAGCTTTTAAATCATTGAAAAGGCTTCGAGCCTTTTCTTGCACTAAAGTAAGGCTCAATAAAAACCATATGCACCTGTTCTGACTTATCTACAAATTCAACTTAAAGACAGTTAGGAACGAATCTTGTTTGTAACCTGGGGACTGCCTGTAATTGTTGACCGTTTGGTCTCATATAGGTGATTTTTTAAAGGAGCATAGTATTTACGGGTGATAGTCATTATTTTTTGAGCCAATTTGTTATTTAGCTACAAGGTGACCTCAGGGGTTAGTTTTGGTTTAAGGTACAAAGAGTATCTCAGGGCGATAGTCTCGGGGAGTCCTCCAGTCTCAACCAGTCCAGTAGGTCTGTTTTTTTTTTTAATGTCAACTTTTTTGTTGTTGTGCTGTATGTGAAAGTTTACAGCTCAAGTTGATTTCTCATTTGAAAGTGTATGCATTTTTTTTTGTGACATTGGTTGCAGTCCCCACAATGTGACAGTACACTCCCCTTTCTACCCTGGGTTCCCTGTGTCCTTTCGACCAGTTCCTGTCCCTTCCTGCCTTCTCATCCTACTTTTGGACAGGTGCTGTGCATTTGGTCTTGTATATCTGAATGAACTAAGAAGCATGTTCCTCACGCGTATTATTTTATGTTTTATACTCCTGTCTAATCTTTGTCTGAAGAGTGGGCTTCAGGAATGGTTTCAGTTCTGGATCAACAGAGCTTTCGGGGGCCATATTTTCAGGGGTTCCTTCAGTCTCTGTCAGACCATTAAGTCTGGTCTTTTTACATGAATTTGAATTCTGATCTACATTTTTCTCCTGCTGTGTCTGGGACTCTCCAGTAGGTCTGGTTTTGTTGTTGTTAGGGATTTGAGGTTCTGTTCCACATTTTTCTCCCTTTCTATCAGGGTCCATCTGTTGTGGCCCTGATTAGAAAGTTCAGTAGTGGTAGCCAGGCACCATCTAGTTCTGGTCTCTGGGTAGATGAGGCTGTGGTTCGTGTAGACTCTGTTCTGTAGATTAATTTCATCTTTGAGCTTTTGGTTTCCTTCTTTCTCTTTTGCTCTGGACGAATAGAGACCAATAGTTGTATCTTAGATGGTCACTCGCATGTTTTTAAGACCCCAGACATTACTCACCAAACTAGGATGTAGAACATAACTTTATGAACTATATTATGCCAATTGACACGAGACTATGATCCTAATCCGTCAAACCCAGAAATCCAATCCCGCAAGGTGTTTGGTTATGTCTAAGAAGTATCTATAACTGTGCCCCCATGTGCTTTATTATATATATGAATATATGTGCATACAGCCACACAGATGCATATACATATGCATAAACCAATATATACACGTACAGATACATACCTATACACATATGTAGAATCGACTTGACAGCAATGGGTTTTTTTGGGATACACATATATACCTACATACATACATATATACCCACACATATATTTTTTGATTGTTTTTACTATTGTTTCAAAATTATATATGCCCTAGCAATTACCAACAGGTCCTTTTTTCTTGTACTTTTTGGTGACATTGTTTACCTTGATCAAGCCGTGGAAACTTCACCCTCATTCGGTGTTATCTTTCCCATCACTAAAAATAACAAGCGTCTACTATCTAGAGAGTGAATCTCCCCCCCAATATTTTTTTAAATTAAAGTTTAAAATCACCATTGACCTTTAAAAAATGAATTACAATGAATACAACCACAATGAAGTTGGCTATGAAAAGGAACAAGCCTCCACTTTCCTCTCATAATGGTCGAACTGGTCTTGTTTATACCATTTAGCTGATTACTAGCTTTGATGGGAAAAGCAAGTGGGTCACTGGACAGATTGTAGAACTTGAGGGGACTCTCTGTATGTAGGAAAGAACCTTAGAAATGTTCTAATTAACCATAGAATGCCTTGAGGTTTTATTTACATGTATTGGGTACATGTAGTTATAAATGCCATGATGAATTTTAAAAAAATATTAAAGATCAGATTGACAAAATAAAAAAAAAATGTATGACAGTACCAAGTATTGGCAAAAGGGGCATGTATTCACTGCTGGCGAATATGTAAATGAGTTTGCTCACTTTGCAGAGCAATTTGTCGATATCTAGAAATGCTGAAGATGTGTATGCATTTCCACTGCTGGCATGTGCCCTAGTGCTAGAGTTCTCAAAGTGTGGTCTTTGGACCAATAGCAACAACATCACCTGGAACTTGTTAGAAATGCAAATTCTTGGGTCTCTCCTTAGACCAATTGATCACAAACTCTGATATGGTGCTCAGAAACCTGGTTTAACATGACCTCCAGGTGATTCTAATATATGCTGAAGTTTGAGAACCACTTCTCTGGAGAACTGTCACACAAGGAGGCCCATATGAGAATGCTCATAGCAGCGTTGTGCATAATAGAGAAAGAGGAATAACCTAAATGTCCCTCTTCAGGAAAATGAATCAAATGTGGCATAGGCACAGCAGTGAAAAATTAATAACTTAGAGCAACATGTATTTACATGGATGAATTTCACAAATACTAGGTTGTGTGCAAAAAAACAACTTGGGAAAAGATATATAGAGTATGGTACCATGTAAGTAAAATTGAAAAGCATGCAGTATATTGTTTAGCGGTATATACCTATGTAGTAAAAGTATAAGACATTCTTGAGAATGATAAACATCAAACTCAGGTTGGTGGTAAGCTCTTGTGGAAAGGGGGGCCATTTCTGCTCAAACTCTTGCTGGTTTCTCCTCGTTTCCCCTACGTCTTAATGGTGGCATGCCCAAGAATCAATCTTTGGACTTCTTCTGTTGTCCATCTTCACGCACTCGCTTGGTGATAACATCTAATCTCATGGTTTTACTCATTCTATGAGCTATTTGTTGAACACGTTGTGTTGTTGTTAGGTGCCATTGAGTCAGTTTCCAACTCATAGCGACCCTATGTACGATAGAACGAAACACTGCCTGGTCCCTCACCATCCTCACTATCGTTGCTATGTTTGAGCTTATTTTTGCAGCCACTGTGTCAATCCATCTCATTGAGATCTTCCTCTTTTACCCTCATGCTGTACCACTAGTCTGTCAGTTTGTTGTACTGTGGTGGCTTGCGTGTTGCTCTGATGCTGGAAACTATGCCACCAGTATTTCAAATACCAGCAGGGACACCCATAGTGGACAGTTTTCAGTGGAGCTTCCAGACTAAGACAGACTAGGAAAAAGGACCTGGCGACCTACTTCTAAAAAAATTGACCATTGAAAACCTTATAAATAGCAGCGGAACACTGTTGAACATAGGGAATGGAATTTACAAAGCCTTGTCCATGCCACCACCATCTCTCACCATCTCCCACCTGGACAACTGTAATAAACTCCTCACCGGCCTCCCTGCTTCTAGCTTTATCCCTCTTCAATTTACTCTCAATATAATATTGCAGCCACTTAAAGATGTTTTAAAATAATATCATGTCACTTTTTTGCTCAATCCCTTTATCAGCTTCTCCTCTCACTCAGAGTAAAAGCCAAATTACCTGCAATGGACTAGCCCAAAAAACCCAAACCTGCTGCAGTCCAGTTGATTCCGACTCATAGCGATCCTATAGGACAGAGTAGAACTGCCCCATAGGGTTTCCAAGGAGTGCTTGGTGGATTTGAACTAGCCGACCTTTATGGTTAGCAGCTGTAGCTCTTAACCACTACGCCACCAGGGTTTCACGTACAATGGACTAGAGGCCTGTTATCTCTCTGCCTTTACCTCCTCCCTCCCCATCTACTCTGTCCCAGCCACACTGGCCTCCTTCATGTTCCCACAGCATGGCTGGCACACTTTTCCCTCAAAACATTTATTTATACTTGGAGTTTTCCTTACCTTGAACAATGTCCTCAAGCTATCTGCATGGTTCCCTTTCCCACTTCCTTCAAATCTTTACCCCAATGCCACCTTCTCACTGAGGCATCCTGTTTACCCTCTGGCTGGTTAGCCAGCTTCCTGGAGGTCCTGGGTGCCGGCCCTCATCCCTACAGGACTTCTTGCCAGAGTGGACAGCCAGAAGAATGGGGCTACCCACATGACCGGCCACATATCCTTAGAGTCGCCCTCATGTGGCCACTTTTGGGAATGGCAGTCCCTGCCAGACGGGTCTGAGACAGTAATGAACAGAAAGAAGGGAAATAAGCAGATGGTGGTTATTTTTTATTTATACATTAATTTATATAACCAAATAAATTGTTGGATATTTGGAATATTTTAAACGTCACTCTTTACATTATTACTTACTACATGATTACACGGAAAATACCTTTGCTTTCTTGAAGTCTTAAGCTCCATGTTGAGAACTAGAGCTGCATGTGTTACATTGAAATTTATGATATTTGAGATATTAATTCTAATTAACATTTATAATAATATTTATTTTAATATAATATGAATTAAAATGATATTTATTATGTAGAATATTCTATTGGTCAA